CCTTTTGGGTCAGGATCCCCAGTTTAAGAAACACTGATCTATCATGTCCATATGTGAAATTTCACTGAGAATTCCAACTACACTGAGTCCTGATTTTGTGTGTATACAATGTACATATAAGGAACGAGTGAAACTCTTGTTATAATATTGCTCGTTATGAAAATACTTCACTCAAAATGTTTTTCTTCCCAAATTGACACATTTTGGTGCAGTAGCTTAGAATGACCGTGAGCATTGTAATTTCTGTGCTGAGGTACTCTTCATACAAAAGGTGAAGGATTCACATTGCAGGAAAGAGATTAAGCAATTAAAAACCAGAGGTTGGCCTATGCCAGCTGATTTATACTTGTGGGGCTTGGGCTAAGGGGTTGTTTTATTGCAGTGTAGACATGTGGACTTGGGCTGGCGCCCGGGCTCTTGAACCGGCGCCTGGGCTCTTGAACCCTGTGATGTGGGAGGATCCAAGAGCTTGGGCTGCAGCCTGAGTGCAAACGTCTACAGCCGCAATTAAACAGCCCCCTAGCCTTAGCCCTGCGAGCCCAAGTCAGCTGGCTCAGGCCAGCTACAGGTGTCTAATTGCAGTGTAGACCTACCCTAGGAAGATGCAGTGAAGAAATTCAGAGGGACATATTCAGTCTTGGTAAACTCCATTGACTTCAGTGGCATTACTCCCACATACACTAGGACTTAACTTAACCTGTGATATTTATTCCGAGAACAGAGTTCTTCAGCAGAGATCTGAGGCCATTTAAAGTCTGTTTCCCCAGGCCTGTAAATCTGATTTTTGTGTAGAGTGGATGGCAAACTAATATCTGATACGATTTTTCAGGAGTTCTGCTATAGTACTTTCCTTAAAAGACATCACTTGATTTGGCTTGTTTCTTCATCTTATCAGCTGCTGTGTTGTTTCTCTTACTGCGTGACTGGGAAAGAAAAACCAAAACTCTTCAACCAGCACAGTTACTTAAACTGATCTGTCTTTGAAGAGGTGATTCTTTCAGGGTCCCAGAGACCTGTCACTATCTTTATATACTGAGACCATCAAGACTGAGATGGATTAAATGTAAATCCCTTCAGTAGGGTTTAAGAGGACCATAATGTAGTCATGCTGGATGTAAAGCCTTGCTTTTATTCCATTTTAACTAGTTCAGAATAAAAGCAAACAAAGTAAACAAGTGCAGAATTTGTCCCAGTAAATTTTTAATATTATGGCACAACAGGCTTTCACAAAAAAGGAGGAAAGAAAAGTGAACGTGATTAAAAAGCCAGCAAGAGAACTGTTATGGCTGTTTCTTTGTTATGTAGGCATAATGTCTTGAGCCCCCACGGCTTGGGCACTTCCCACCAGCACATTTCTACCAGTGAAGGCCATGACTGAGCCATAAGTATTTGACTAGACAAATGCACCTATGACTTTTGAAATATGTTGATCTATTTTTCCATCATATTCAATTGTAGGCATTAGAAATTGTAAACAAACCCTAGTTACTAGGTAAGAACAGCAGGGGTACATGCATATTTAGGAATACATTGAGATCCTGTTCTGCAGAAATGGAATTGTGTGAATCACAGAAATGTATGATTAATGCATAGCTTGGATGGCTACTTTGTGAAAGAGACCAGCAAAGCTGGTCTTTCATTTATTTCAGGACTATAATTTGTGTTTGACAAGTTGGTTCTGAAAGATTGGAATAGGTGAGCTTCATTGATTTCCTCTTCTGTGAATTTCTTTATTAGAGAGGGATCGGAAAAGCAAAGCATCTGTTTCAGAATTTCTAGACACTAAATCTTTGCGAGAACATACATCGCTTCTATCCGTTATGTCGGGTTTGAGTGAGCTAGCCCAAGGATTTGCAGGTGAAAGCAGAGAGCCAATATTCAAAGTAAGTCCATTACATTTTACTTTTGTTTTCTTGGAGGAATCTGAAGGAGCTCTGTCTGTGATATGAACATTTGAATGTGTGAATGTTTCAATAAACCTTATGTCGAGTTAACGATGTAAAACTGCATACTGTGATCCTAGAGCAGGGGTCGGCAAACTTTTTGGCCTGAGGGCTTCATCTGGGTGGGAAAATTGCATGCAGGGCCATGAATGTAGGGCTGGGGCAGCGGTGCGGGAGGGAGTGTGGTGTGCAGGAAAGGGCTCAGGACAAGGGGTTAGGGTGCAAGAAGGGTGTGGGGTGCAGAAAGGGGCTGAGGGCAGGGGTGCAGGAGGGGTTCTGGGTGTGGGCTTCGGCCCGGCGCCACTTACCTTGAGCAGCTCCGGGGTGGCAGCAGCGCGAAGACAGGCTCCCTGGCCCCACGCTGCTCCCAGAAGTGGCCAGCACCACATCCCTGCGGGAGGGGTGGCAGAGGGTTCCACATGCTGCCCTCACCTGCGGGTACCTCCCCCGAAGCTCCCATTGGCCATGGTTCCCTGTTCCCGGCCAATGGGAGCTGCAGGAGGTGGTGCCTGCAGGTGACGGCAGTGCACAGAGCCCCTCTGCTCCCCGATTCCCAGGGGCCACAGGGATGTGGTGCCAGCCGCTTCCAGGAGCAGCACAGGGCCAGGGCAGGCAGGCAGCCTGCCTTAGCCCCGCTGTGCCACGGGGCTGGCAATCCCGCAGGCCAGATCCAAAGTTTGCCTACCCCGTCCTAGAGGAAGATAAAACATACGAGCATATGATTTTCCAACTGAAACAGAATGTAATAGGATACACTCTCTGCAAGCCATGCAGGGAGCACCCTCATGGCTAGGAATTACCTCTGCCTGGTCTGATGCTCCCTTGCTTGCTTGCACTGGAGCCCCTCTCTAGGAGTCACAGGGCTTCCTCTTCCTGGCTTGGCCCTCTGGCCAGGTCACTATATAGTTTTCCCCTACTGTGGTTAATAATGTCTCATCAGACCAGCTGTCCAGGTACCATTCCAGGCACTCTTCCCACTCAAGACTGTGCCACTTGCCCATTGTCTGGTAGGGGAACCCAGGCTCATCTGCTACTCCAGGTTCGAGTCCAGGGACTCTACTATCAGCAGCCAAGGTCTGCATTGTCTCAACTCTTGCTGCTGTTTCCCTGGGCTTCTTCCTACTCCATACTCTGCAGTCTTCTTTCTCTGTCACCCTTCTGGGGGAAAACCCTTCTGTCAGAGTCCCAGGGCTTCTGCTTCCCCACTGGTTTTCCTTCTTCTCTCCTTACTAGGCCCAACAAGTGACTGAAGCCCCCTTATGCCCTCACTTCCTGGCTTTATATGAGTCCCTCCTACTCCTCCCCAGATGGTCTCCATCTTCAATTAGTATTGTCAGTTAGGCCTAAGTCTTCCTCCAGATGCAGCCTGTTAGGTTAATTAGCCACTTCTGCGCCACCTTAACCCCTTCAGGGGTGGTGTGGGGTGAACACAACATCCCACTGAAGTGTCCAGTATCAAGCCTCTGGCAGTGGCCTATGCCTGATGCTTCAGAGAAAGGTGAAAACCCCCTATAATTCAACTTTGGCTGTTGTACAGTGCTGTACAGGCACTGTGAATCACTATCCCTGACATAGGTTTTCAATATTTATGGTTACAGTGAATATATCAATGGGTTGTTTGTGTACCACATACTACACCACCAACCCCCAGATTTGTTTGCATCAAACAGCTAGCAAAGTTCATAATTAGCTAGAACCAATAACTAACAATAGTGTGCGAAGGAGGTGGGAAGGACACTAGGCCCTTGGCCACAGGTTACTTGTCACTTAATGTTCACCTAAGGATGCATGCTAACAGGGCTCTTGCCTCTTTGAGGCTGTCAGGATGTAGTCATTTAATTAATCTCATTGTATAACTGGTGTCTTTTTCTGAACTCCCAGTCTTATCTCCTTCCACTTGAGTAGCTGGATGTATGTTTGTGTGTTTCTTTGAGACTACCATCAATGGCATTGTGGTCTGAACCTCTCTCTGATTTGAAACTGACAGTGCTCATTTCTTGATACTCTTAGCTTCCATAGGCTTGGGAGGCAAAATTCTTAGGTTGCTCCCAAAGCTGAATATTTGTACTGTTAGGTGTGTGATTTTTTTTTAAATTTTGTTTTTGTGTTAGTGGTTTATGTGGCACAATAACATAAACATACTGGAGTAAGAGATGGAATTGATTCTGTCCTGCTGCTGGTAACTGACAGAACTCTAAATCTGTTGTAGGATTTGTTTAAGAAATGTGGCAGCAAATAATCACATGCATATTTGATTACATTGATTACCATCTTTCTTATGTTTCAGATCATAAAACAGACAGTTTACAACCTATATTTTCATGTGGCTTTTAATGACATTTCTGAAGAATTTGTACATGATGATATTATGTTCTTTCTCAGAGATACAAGAGGTATTTTTCATGGATAAATTATGACTGAACGTTTTCAATGTTTGTATTAAAAAGCGCTTTAGACTAAGAAATGATGATGATTGGGATTTAGGACAATGTATATTCAGGATGAATAGACATGTGTGGTCTCAGAACAGGCCTGGGAGCCAGAAACTTCTGAGTTTTAATCTGTCTTTGGCATCCACTTTGTGGAAAGTCATCTAAGGTGTCTGGCTTCATTCCCCCATTTTACAGATGGGGATAAGACTTGCATACCTCCCTGAGAGGAAGTACTGAGATTTAATTACTGAATGTTTGTAGGAAGCTTTGAAGATGAAAAGTTGTATATGTTGCTAGGCACTAGGGTGATGATGAAGATAACTGAGCTATACTTTAGTGTCCCAAGCCTGTTATATGGACAAGGGTTGTTTACATGACTCAAATTCTGATAAATTCTGATAAACAAATCTTGTTTTAACAGTTAATAATTTGTCCTGAAAACAGTGACAATGTCTGCTGCAGGCTATAGTAACCTTAACCCAGAGCCACTGTCCAGACCCAATCCTTAACCCTATCCTGGTGCCATCTCACTGTAATACTAGACAGGGGCTATCGAATAGTCTCAGCCTGAGCTTGGCAGAACTAACCAGCCTAGGGTGAGCAGATGTCCCGATTTTATAGGGACAGTCCTGATATTTGGGGCTTTGTCTTATATAGGCACCTATTACCCCCCACCCTGTCCCGATTTTTCTCTTTCATTTTTTCAACATTTCCAGCAAAAAATAATTGGCATTTTTTGATGAGTTCTGTGCAAGATTTTCCCATTACCTCTGAAGAGTGAGAAGCAGGAAATTAAAACAGCATCTCCAGAAGACATGACAGAGGAAAGAACCACCACTAAGCCATCAAGCTGGCATATAAAAACTTATAGTAGAATGATCCATCTGATCTCCTTTTGCTTGCTTATAACCTGCATTAGAGTATTTGAGAGTCCAGGCAGGTTTCATTTATAAGTGGCTGAGTGAATTGGCTCATGTCATACCCAGTTTATTAGCAGATATATTTTACTTTTTAGAATGATAAACATTTAATTGCTCCTTATGCAGGAACACATCAGCACTGGTTTTAATTATTGCTTTCTGTACCAAATAGCAAAATTTAACACTTATTATTTATTACTGTCTAGAAACAGTTAGTGAACCTAATGATGTGAATGAAGCTAATGAAATTCTGCCTGAATTGCTAGAGAGTGGCATTCTGAATGGTCACACTCTTTTGATGCTGAAGAATATTTTCTCACAGGTAAAGGTGTTACCATTTCTGCGTATGGACCCCTGAAGTTTTTGTTAGAGTCTAATCCATTTAGTATAAGATTGATATTATCAGTACACAGTAAATACTAATAGTTGCTGAGCTAATCTGATTTACCCACTTTAAATTTATATATAATATTTAATTTGAATCCCCCCCATGTGTTTAGGGAAGAGTGTGGAGAGAGCTGATATTTGATCTCATTGCATGTTCCAAGTGTGGGAGGTGTCTGGGAATGTAATAACACATGCCTTTATTTATACATGAGACTCAGGTGAGGTTGAAGGAAGCTTTCAGATAGGGTGTGAAGACAGAATAAAAAAGGATGACTGGGCTATTACCCCATAAGATTTGAGGAGAAAATCATGCTGATAAAGAGATGAAATGAATTATAGTTAGTCATGTGCAATAGATCCAAAGGTTTGTTAAATGAATAGTTAGAAATTTGACTGCATGTTGATCTTTCAAAATTGTGAACAGTGTAATTTGTGGTACATGTTTGCATTTCAGGTTTTTTTGCCTGCTTTGTCCCATAATCAGCACAAGGCTGAGGAAACTGCCTTTCATCCAGACACCGAAAAGCCAGAGCCTGAAGACAGGCGTTTAGCTGAAGCTGAGCCTCTTGAAAAAAAGAAAGAGGAGTCTGTGGAATTTCACAGTTTTCACATAATAAGGAATGAGTTCTTAATGAACATGCAGAAATTCCTGAGCCATATTCAAAGGACTATACAGCAGATTGAAGGCAAGTATCTCCCCCTGCCCCACACTAGATATTTACATTACGTGACAGTGGAAAGAAATTAATTCAGGTTTGGCTTTGTTTCAAATAGTGATACTCAACCTGTAGTTGTATAATTGCATGCAGCTCCTGGGGAGTCTCCGGATTTGATCAGAGGTCCTCTTCTGTGATGATAAGAGCATTACATTCAGCTTTATACATGCAAGGGAGCATGGAGCAAATGGACCAGATCTGTAATAAATATCCTGCCAAGGAGCCAGGAATAGGAGTGGGAGAGAGGCTAAACTCCCCTAACTGCCTTCCAGCAGTCATGTGGAGGGAGAGTGAGGGAGGGGAGCACAGGAATATAGGAATTGCCTACTGGATCTGGCTTTTGGTCTCTCCAGTCCAGAATCCTGTCTCTGACAATGGCAATCACCAGATGCTTCAGAGGAAGGTGCAAGAACCCCAGAATAGGTAGATGTGGGATAATCTGCCCCAATGATGTCTCAGCCTAATTCCTAATAGTTAGAGATTGTCTTAAACCCTGGAACGTGAGAGGTGGGGGTGTTACACTTTCAAAAACCTTTGCATTCATTAAATGTTATAACTCTGAAGAGAGAGGAAACTTTTGGCCAAAATCACTGATAGAATGAGCAGAAGGTTTACTAGCTGTCCTCAGATAGATACCTAGATGGAAGGTTTGTGCTTTTTTTATTGTATTATTCAAATGATGAAGCATATGGGGGAAATAAAATGTTTTTTTTTGTTCCAACAGGAGAGATTAAACTGGAGATGCCAACTATAAATCTAGATGCAGAAGTGAGTGAACTTGCCACAGATCCAGAAGTGATTGAAACACTGGAGCACTGTGGAATGACCTGGCTAACATTAATATCCACAGCCGTTGAGGAACAACTCAGAAAGGTCCCACAGGTAACATTGCTAATAACCACTCAGCATGCCAAAACTGATCTGTCCATTACTGGTTTGTGCTCAATGTTATTCTCTGTTTGATTGCCCAAAAGGGTGGAGTTTCCATCTGCTGACTAATATAAAGCAAAACAAAGGTAGTGGGGAACTGGGTGTCTTCTGGGTAATGGAGTATAAAGCAATTCACTTTCAAGTTGTCAGTGCAAACACTGCGGATTATTAGTTATGGAAAGTTGTTTCCGACTGATGGCTGTTCAGTGCTCTGTGTAAAATGAGTGTGGTGGTCTCAGCCCAGCTGCCAATGATCAAGTGTTCACATCACAAAAATTATCACCACAATTGGCTTGTATGGCTATTTTTGTTGGCAGCCTCTGCAGGGAGTCAAGGTACTAAATGGGTTTGGAGACTGACATTTCCTTTCCTAGGGGTGGAATCATGGGGAAGGAGCAAGGTCCATCGACAGGACAGTGTGTGGGAGCTTGCTGCAGCTGCCTGTTTTGAGGCTAGAGGACTTCAACGTCCTGGGCTGCCATCAGGTTCCTTTCACTAGAACTAACTTCATAGAGAATCATAGAAAAGTAGGGCAGGAAGGGACCTCGAGAAGTCATCTAGTTCAGAACCCTGCGCTGAGGCAGGGCCACGTAAACCTAGACCATCCCTGACAGATGTTTGTCTAACTTATTCTTTAAAATGTCCAGTGATGGGGATTCCACAGCTTCCCTTGGAAGCCTATTCCAGTTCTTACCTATCCTTATAGTTAGAAAGATTTTTCTAATATCTAGCCTAAATCTCCCTTGCTGCAGATTAAGTTGATAGCTGCTTGTTCAGTGGACATGGAGAACAATTGATCACAGTCCTCTTTATAACAATCCTTAGCATATTTGAAGACTGTTATTAGTTCTCCCCTCAGTCTTCTTTTCTCAAGACTAAAATTGCCCATTTTTTTAAGTGTCTTCATAAGTCAGGTTTTCTAAACCTTTTAACATTTTTGTTGCTCTCCTGTGCACTCTCTCCAGTTTGTCCACATCACAATGCAAAGTAATGCACATTGGAAAACATAATCCCAAATATACATATAAAATGATGGGGTCTAAATTAGCTGTTAGCACTCAAGAAAGAGACCTTGGCGTCATTGTGGATAGTTCTCTGAAAACATCCACTCAATGTGCAGCAGCTGTCAAAAAAGCAAACAGAATGTTGGGAATCATTAAGAAATGGATAGATAATAAGACAGAAAATATCATATTGCCTTTATTTAAATCCATGGTACACCCACATCTTGAATACTGCATGCAGATGTGGTCGCCTCATCTCTAAAAAGATATATTAGAATTGGAAAAGGTTCAGAAAAGGGCAACAAAAATTATTAGGGGTATGGAATGGCTACCATATGAGGAGAGATTAATAAGACTGGGACTTTTCAGCTTGGAAAAGAGACGACTAAGGGGGGATATGATAGAGGTCTATAAAATCATGACTGGTGTGGAGAAAATAAATAAAAAAGTGTTATTTACTCCTTCTCATAACACAAGAACTAGGGGTCTGCAAATGAAATTAATAGGCAGCAGGTTTAAAACAAACAAAAGGAAGTATTTTTTCACACAGCGCACGGTCAACCTATGGAATTCCTTGCCAGAGGATGTTGTGAAAGCCAAGACTATAACGGGTTCAAAAAAGAACTAGATAAGTTCATGGAGGATAGGTCCATCAATGGCTATTAGCCAGGATAGGCAGGGATGGTGTCCCTAGCCTCTGTATGCCAGAAGCTGGGAATGGGTGACAGGGGATGGATCACTTGATGATTACCCGTTCTGTTCGTTTCCTCTGGGGCACCTGGCATTGGCCACTGTTGGAAGACAGGATACTGGGCTAGATGAACCTTTGGTCTGACTGAGTATGGCCGTTCTTATGTTCTTATGTATCTTCTTATCTTTCTTAAAGTGTGGTGCCCAAAACTAGACACACTACTCCAACGGAGGCCTCACCAGTGCTGTATAGAGCGGGATAATTACCTTATATGCAACTCTCCTGTTAATACACTCCAGTATGATATTAGCCATTTCAATTTCCAGTTTCAGTTTCAATTTTCAATTTATTCAATTTGTGATCCACTATACCCCCCAGATCCTTTTCTTAGTACTATTGCCCTGCCTGTTATTCCGCATTTTGTATTTGTCTTGAATAGAAACACTTTAGAAAAAAATGAAGAGAAACCCTTACTTTATCCCCATCTTCTGAATCTTCAGCAAAATAAACTTGGATAATGGAGTGTATGTTTTCAGAATCATCGTTGTTAGCTGTCTCTCTATTAGTCAAATCGATGTGATAAACATTACATAATATTAAAAACTGCAATGACATTTTATTTTAATTTAGCACTTATTTATCCCTGAAATCTTTATGAATATTCAAAAATTCTCACTATAAGGACCTGATTCTGCAAACAGTTACACACACAAGTAACTTTATGGAAGTGAGTAAGCCCATGAGAGTCAACCTGACTACTCATATCGATAAAGTTACTCATATGCATAAGTGTTTGCAGAACTGGGGCCTAAAGCCCCAATCCTGCAATTAGTTCCATATGGCAGACCCCACTGCCTGTGTGAAGCCCCATTAACTTCAGGGATCTGCTTGTGTGGGGCTTATCTCCTGACTGGAGCCTAAATTGGCAAATATTTCTTCCTCTAGGAAGTGCTCAGTGTTTCAGAAATGTCTTATGGCCATATTATGTAGGTGTAGCCATATAAATATCTTTATTGATGCAGCCTTGTTTAGTGCACTGAACATGTTGCAAATAAAAGCTTAAGAAATGTCAGCATGGTTATAATTTCCCCCCAGTCATAAAGAGAATTCTAATGCCTTTTCTTGCTTCCTCTCATCCTCAGGGTAATGGCCCACTAGCAGAAATTGACCTGTGGCGTGAAAGAAATGCTACTTTAAGTGCTCTGACTGAACAGATAAAGCTCCCATTAGTTAAAAAAATCTTAGCAATACTAAAGGAAGCTGAATCTGGACTTCTTGAAAATTTGCAGATAGTCATAAATGATCTTAGCAGGCACCATGTGGAAGCTGTAGATAATGTTAGGTTTCTTTCAACTCTGGAGCGCCATTTGAAGGTATGTTTATTTAATGATACTTTGGGAAGATTTGTCAGTGTTTAATTCAGTCATGTCTTTCTTTTGATATAAGCCCAGCTCTTCTTTTTTATTTGTCCTGTCATTTTTTATCAATAATAAAAATACACGGTGATTTGCTTAGATAGTGAAAAAGAAAAAAATGCTCGTTTGGCTTCTCTTCCTAGGTGAAGAGTTGTTTGGATGGCAGTGATCAATAGAGAGGAGACTGTATTCTGTCTCATAGATAAGTGGTTTGTAACCTTTTTGGCAACTGTACAAGTTTACTGAATTAATGCCTGATTCAACTCTTGGCTGCCTCATCTACTGCATGCCAACTCTCATTCACTTCTATGCCCACTAGACCTTGATGGAATGTGGGCTGCTTCAAACCCCAGTTTTGGAACCGACTTTACTGGAAGTTGTACTTTGCGCATAGTAACTGAAAGTAGAATTAGGTCTGAGATTTTAGTCACTTAGGTAGGAAGTGCTGGCTATTATACCACAGCCTCAGGGGAGTCACTTAACAAGGGTAATAAAATGAGTGAATAAACAAAACCAAAGATTTGTCGTTGCTCTGTTTTTGGGCCAGCTTCTGCTGCTGAATGCATTCATGAGTCTCCTGTGCACTCATGAATCTCCTGTTAAAGGAGATAGGACTCATTCAAGCATTCGGAGGTAGATTTGGGCAATAAGTACTGGCAGTCTTTAATAGAAACTAGAATTTTAATGAGACAACAACCTGAATATTCACGTCTGTAGGCCCAATCCTGCAGACACTTAGGCACATGAATAACTTTAAAGTTACTGACATGTAGGTTTGCTAGATTTGGCCATATGTCTTGAGCCCAAGTATTTAGTTGCCGAGACCCTTAGCAATTTTCAAGTGGTCCACGAAAAAAAAGTTGATAGAATAGGTATCTGTTTTTTCATGGCAATCTTATTCACAATATTTATCCTCTATTTAAAAGAATTTAACTCATGGCACTGGATTTAATATTGTCTTGGATACAATTCCTTCAATGATGAACGCACTGAGAATGGTTTGGATTATCTCACGGCATTACAACAAGGATGAGCGGATGATACCCCTAATGGAAAGAATTGCATGGGAAATTACAGCAAGGGTCTGCAAAGTTGTGGACTTACGGACTTTGTTTAAGTAAGCAGTAGATTCTTACTTAACTAGGTCATAACTGTTAGTAGCTTTGAATATCTTACAGTAAGTATGATAGGTGCCAATCTTATCAAGTATGTTTTACTTATTTTCAGGAGCTTTCGTTATATTTAGCAAATTTAAAGGCACATTTGAGAAGTTCACTATATGCACTTTCATATATTATTGAAGCAGCTTTAAAGATGGGGGTACTGGTTCTCTTTTGACATGGGCTGATATAAAGTAGTAGTAACTCTGTTGAAATCAGTGGAATTCCAGTGGTACAAATATGATGTAAGTGCTATCAGAATCAGCCCTGAAATCTTTCTTCCTTTTCAAAAACCAAAGTCATAAAATGTTCTTGAGGGCGAGACAGTATTGTGAAATTTTAAGTTTTAGCTAGATTTCATTAAAATAGAAGACTTTATTGAACCAAGATATTCTAGCTCAATGAAAGCATCATTTCATATTAAACCTTTAAAGGTTCTTGTCAGTCTTCTAACTGCTTTGTTTTGTTTAATAGAGAAGATAGAAGCATTGCAAAAACTAAATTGTTGGAAGCCAAAGGCTCTCTTGAAATGTGGAAAAAATCCTATTTCGATATTCGTGCCCAGATTGAAGCCTCAGGAAGAGACCAACGATGGGAATTTGACCGAAAGCGTCTATTTGAAAAAACCGATTATATGGCTTCGATCTGTCAAGATCTGTATGATATTGTGCAGGTAGTAATGTGTGTGGTTTTAAATAAAAGGATTGTGTATCTAGATTCTCCAGCTGTGAGAGATTGTTTTACATTGTATTGTATTTGCTGAATTGAATGAAATGTTAGTAACCTTTAAGAAATTTGCTAGTGGGCTCACCTGGCAGATTCTTTGTAATACTGTTGTAGTAGAAATGTATATCTCCTGCCTCCCAGGTTCTTAGACTCTAAGCACTTTTTCTAATATACATAAGGCGGCAGAGGAGGGAAGGCAGATGGTTTCTGCCTGCCTGAGCACTTATTATCTGATCTTGGAATACAATTGGCCTTGACTTCAGTGTGGGCCAAGTAAGTTGGAGGAAAAGGAAAAGGATCAAACTGGAGAAGGAAGTTCAAAAGGGATAAAATTATGGGGGTGTAATAATTATCGACCCAAGTCTTCAGTGGGATCCATGCGGATAGATTCTGATGCCTGCAGAGTCTCAATGGTTTCTATAGGAGTGTGTGGGCATAGGGGTCTGCTCACCAGTACCCCATTATGGAATGGGTTCCTATATCTGGGTCAACTTCTGTAGGACCAGAAATGGATGCTGACTTTAATCCAAATTGGGCTCTTTATTTGGAGATGGATAATGTGATTCACTACCAAATTTACACATTATTATATTATCTTTAAAATAATTTAAATGTTTTAAGAGGTCTTGTATTTTAAATGTGTACTTTTAACACTGAAGAATAAATGTAATGTTTTAAAAACAAATTCATAGACATAAATAGAGGAACAGTTATCCCAAACTACAACCAAATCTTGCAGAGTTTTATGCTTGTGCTTAACTTGAGGCAATGGACAGTCCTACTGATGTCAGTGGGATTACTTATGTGTGTGTGTAGTTAAGCATATGCTTAAGTCTTCTCAGGATCAGGGCCCTAGTCTGGAAAAGGTGTATATTTTAATAGGTTTACATTATTGCTAACTCTATACATATTTAAAACAATCAGATATTTTTATATATGAGTCATTTTTAGGATTTAGTATCTTATTAGAATTATATTAAATAACAGTGAACATACTTGGTTTTGGGGGAAAATAATCCCTGAAACTGTGGGAGTTTTCCATGTACAGTATTTTAGAAAATTTGACACACATAAAAGGTCAGTATGTCAAATGCAAGATAATAGATCAGAATTATGGAAATTCTTGTTTGATCACATTGGCATAATAAATATAATGTTCGTGAATGAATGAGTTTTTGATCAGAAAGTATATCTTGAGGTAAGAGAAAGGATATAAACTTTGTAGTAACTAGCAATATATTCCTACCATCAGGAATGGGAATTTTGTCTGAATAAGAACTGTGATATTGGGCACCTAGATTTTTATATGGAATTGTACAGTCTTTTATGGGAATATACAAAATGTATGTCAATGTAAGGATTATTTATTTCCTCTATGTAAAAGTTATTTTTTAAAGGGAAGAATATCCAAAAATATTGTTTTGGCAGAAAGCTAGTTAAAAATAATTCCTTCTTGTCTGTTTGTCTGAACAAACAGGTTATTGAAGAGTTCTACAATATATTTGGTCCTGAACTGAAAGCTGTCACTGGAGATCCAAAGCGCATTGATGATGTATTGCGAAGGGTTGATGGGCTGATTAGTCCTATGGAAGTGCTGACTTTTGACCCTTTTAGCATCAAATGTGCATCCCAATGGAAATTTGTTATGGAAGATTTTAAATCGGAAGTGCTGGTAGGTAGCAGGTCCTGTGCTGGTTATTTCTATAACACTGTATATTTTCCTTCTAGAATTTCAAAATTTAAACTTAAAATAAATGCAAGCCTGAAAAGTAAAAAATAAATGAATAAATAATAAAATAAAAAGTAGATAAATATGGCCAAACATTTTAATTTGGAGTTTTGGGAGGAAGCCAAGGGTTATTTTTGTTTGTTTGTTTTACACTTTGCATGTGAGCGTAGAGCTGGTGAAAGGTGCTTGTTCATTCACAGCCCTGGAGTCTGAAGCTCTTTGTTAATTGAGCAGTGGTAGAGTTTGCTTTCCTGACACTCACCTGCTAACATGCCTCTCCTATGACCTAAATGGGAGTTAAGGCTCACACTCCTAGCCTCCTTCAGTCCCTCCCCTGTCTGCTGAGAAGACCAGCAATGGTACCAGTTGGGATGGTGCTTATAATAATAAATGGAGATATACCTATCTCCTAGAGCCGAAAGGTCATTGAGTCCAGTCCCCTGCCTTCACTAGCAGGACCAAGTACTGATTTTGCCCCAGATCCCTAAGTGGCCCCCTCAAGGATTGAACTCACAACTCTGGGTTTAGCAGGCCAATGTTTAAACCACTGAGCTATCCCTCCTCTCTTATTGTGATGTACACTCTTGCCCTGTAAGCATTGGATTGAGATCCAGCGCACTCATTTCCCTTAGGCCATTGAACAGGCATCAGGTGGTTTTTGGAAAAAAAAATTCAAAAAAGAGAAGCAAAATTATACTTTAATGTTAGCACAACATTACGTGTTTTACACCTAGGCCACTCTCTCTTCCGCCCTTTGTCTCTGCAAAGTTAATCCATAAGCAGTTTTATTTCTTGACTTGCTGTCTTTTTCTTTGTCTAGGTTATAGAAAAAGAGGCCAAGAATTTTATTGATGAGTCCTTTAAGACCCTTCGATCAGCAGAGGCTGCTTTTGACATGCTCTTAAACTTTAAACACATCCGCTCTCGGGATGCCATCAATAGACAGATGATGATGAAATTTAATGATATTCTGGCACAGTATTGTAAAGAGGTATTTCACTTAAGAATTTCTTAAGAAATACATAAAATTCTCTACCAAGTAGAAGTATCCCTTCTTGAACAATAAATCTATGTATCTGTCTAGGGACTTACACGGCCCTTGTCACCATAGTGTCTGAGAGGCTCCCAAGTATTTAGAAATAACCATAACAATCTTTCTCTTTTCTTTGCAGCCTGAAGGAGAAATAGCACGATTAGTATGTAGATATTTGTGTATGTGGTTGTCTGTGTTAGGATACTTATTGTGGGTCAAAGGGAGACAAGGTTTGCATTTAGTTCTGTATGCAGTGGGGCCTGGTCATTCTTATTTCTTGTGAGCATGAGTTCTACAGCAGAGGTTATCAAACTGTGGTCCGTGGACCACCAGTGGTCCGCGAGCTCCATTCAGGTGGTCCACAGATAGTTCCCCCTAAGGTGCGTACCTGGGCAGCCGCACATGAGAGAATGAAGGGCCACCTACCTAATTAGTGGAGCCTTGCAGGCATGGCTCCACTGATTAGGTGCCTGGACCCTGGAGAAGTCGCACATGTAAGGTAAGGCGGTGGCCTTGGGGGGGAACGGGGTAGGTAGGAGGGGGCAGTGGGGTGAAAAGAGTGGGTGGTGGGGAGGAATTTGAGATGTGCAGGGCTGCGGCAGCCAGAGAAAGGCAACTTTCCCCTGCTCCAGGGCTGTGGCTGCCGGGGAGAGACCTCCCCCTCCTTCCCAGCCCCCACTTGGGGGCTGCCGTGGCGAGGGAGAGACCTCCCCCCCTTCCCAGCCCCAGCTCAAGGGCTGCTGCGGCGAGGGAGTGAGGGCACATCCATCGCATTAGAAAGGTAAGACTACTGATATTAAAATATGAGTTGTGTGCTTTTATTTGTAGAAAAAAAAATGTTTATTATTAAGGGTTTTTTTATATAGCGCTTTTATCCAAAGTTCTTTACAATAGTTAGCTGCCGCTACAACAACATTTGGAAAGATCATTAAGTGGTCTGCTAAGACCCTTAGCAATTTTCAAGAGGTCTGCGAAAAAAAAAGTTTGAGAACCACCATTCTACAGTATTCCATCTCCTGTGAAAATTATGTCTCCTACTCATGAACCTCCTTGTGCTGGATGACAATTCCCAGTCTCTATTCAAGCCTAAGTTGATTGTATCTAGTTTGCATATCAATTCAAGTTCAGCAGTTTCTCGTTGGAATCTGTGTTTGAAGCTTTTCTGTTGCAAAATTGCCACCCGCAGGTCTGTTATTGAGTGACCAGACAGGTTAAAGTGTTCTCCTACTGGTTTTTGAATGTTATGATTCCTGATGTCAGATTTGTGTCCATTTATTCTTTTGCGTAGAGACTGTCCAGTTTGGCCAATGTACATGGCAGAGGGGTATTGCTGGCACATGATGGCATATATCACATTGGTAGATGTGCAGGTGAACGAGCCCCTGATGGCATGGCTGATGTGATTAGGTCCTACGATGATGTCACTTTAATAGATATGTGGACAGAGTTGGCATCGGGCTTTGTTGCAAGGATAGGTTCCTGGGTCAGTGTTTTTGTTCAGTGGTGTGTGGTTGCTGGTGAGTATTTGTTTCAGGTTAAGGGGTTGTCTGTAAGCGAGGACAGGTCTGTCTCCCAAGATCTGTGAGAGTGAGGGATCATCTTTCAGAATAGGTTGTAGATCTTTGATGATGCGCTGGAGAGGTTTTAGTTGGGGGCTGAAGGTGACAGCTAGTGGTGTTCTGTTATTTTCTTTGTTGGGCCTGTCTTGTAGGAGGTGACTTCTGGGTACTCGTCTGGCTCTGTCAATCTGTTTTTTCACTTCCGCAGGTGGGTATTGTAGTTTGAAGAATGCTTGATAGAGATCTTGTAGGTGCTTGTCTCTGTCTGAGGGATTGGAGCAAATGCGGTTGTATCTTAGAGCTTGGCTGTAGACAATGGATCGTGTGGTGTGTCCTGGATGGAAGCTGGAGGCATGTAGGTAAGTATAGCGGTCAGTGGGTTTCCGGTATAGGGTGGTATTTATGTGACCATCGCTTATTAGCACAGTAGTGTCCAGGAAATGGACCGCTTGTGTGGATTGATCTAGGCTGAGGTTGATGGTGGGATGGAAATTATTGAAATCATGGTGGAATTCCTCAAGGGCTTCTTTTCCATGGGTCCAGATGATGAAGATGTCATCAATGTAGCGCAAGTAGAGTAGGGGCGTTAGGGGACGAGAGCTAAGGAAGCGTTGTTCTAAGTCAGCCATAAAAATATTGGCATACTGTGGGGCCATGCACCCATAGCAGTGCCGCTGACTTGAAGGTATATATTGTCCCCAAATGTGAAATAGTTGTGGGTGAGGACAAAGTCACAAAGTTCAGCCATCAGGTTAGCTGTGACATTATTGGGGATACTGTTCCTGATAGCGTGTAGTCCATCTTTGTGTGGAATATTGGTGTAGAGGGCTTCTACATCCATAGTGGCCAGGATGGTGTTTTCTGGAAGATCACCGATGGATTGTAGTTTCCTAAGGAAGTCAGTGGTGTCTTGAAGATAGCTGGGAGTGCTAGTAGCATAGGGCCTGAGGAGAGAGTCCACATAGTCAGACAATCCTGATGTTAGGGTGCCAATGCCTGAGATGATGGGGCGTCCAGGATTTCCAGGTTTATGGATCTTGGGTAGCAAATAGAATACCCCTGGTCAGGGTTCTAGGCATGTGTCTGTACAGATTTGTTCCTGTGCTTTGTCAGGGAGTTTTTTTAGCAGATGGTGTAGTTTCTTTAGGTAATCCTCAGTGGGATCAGAGGATAATGGCCTGTAGAATGTGGTGTTAGAGAGCTGTCTAGCAGCCTCTTGGTCATATTCCAATTTATTCATGATGATGACAGCACCTCCTTTGTCAGCCTTTTTGATTATGATGTCAGAGTTGTTCCTGAGGCTGTAGATGGCGTTGTGTTCAGCATAGCTGAGGTTATGGGGCAAGTGATGTTGCTTTTCCACAATTTCAGCCTTTGCACAAAGACAGAAGCAATCTAGAAGTCCAGTCTGTTGTTTCGACCATCCGGAGGAGTCCACGCAGAATCCTTTTTTTTGTAGTGCTGGTAGGGAGGATTCTGTGGGTTAGTATGCTGTTCAGAGGTATGTCGGAAATATTCTTTGAGTCGGAGATGTCGAAAATAGGATTCTAGGTCACCGCAGAACTGTATCATGTTCGTGGGTCTGGCGGGACAAAAGGAGAGGCCCCGAGATAGGAAAGACTCTTCTGCTGGGCTAAGAGTATAGCTGGAAAGATTAACAATATTGTTGGGTGGGTATGCAAACTAGATACAATCAACTTAGGCTTGAATAGAGACTGGGAATGGCTGAGCCATTACAAACATTGAATCTATCTCCCCATGTAAGTATTCTCACACTTCTTATCAAACTGTCTGTACTGGGCTATCTTGATTATCACTTAAAAAGTTTTTTTTCTCTTACTTAATTGGCCTCTCAGAGTTGGTAAGACAACTCCCACCTTTTCATGCTCTCTGTATGTGTATATATATCTCCTCAATATATGTTCCATTCTATGCATCTGAAGAAGTGGGCTGTAGCCCACGAAAGCTTATGCTCAAATAAATTTGTTAGTCTCTAAGGTGCCACAAGTACTCCTGTTCTTTTTGCGGATACAGACTAACACAGCTCCTACTCTGAAACCTGTCATTATGGAAGGCATCATATTTTATTAGGCAGCTATAGCTGCCAGGGTAAGATCATGGCTCTCCTCATGCATTATTTGCACACAACACTGCTGCACATGTAATTCTACCTCATCACAGGTGGGGGCTGCTTCATAGCACTCCCTGTGGGGCCAAGTGTGGTACTGCCAGTGCTCCCTGCCTTAGTCCACAAGTCATGGCCACCTGCCTGGAGCAGAGTGGCCCATGCTGAAAGCCTAGTGTCAGTCTCTAAACAGTTAGCCATATTCTGAATTTATTACCTTTGTTTATCTGTTCCCTTAAATAAACAAACCTCAAAGGCAAGCGGTAAATTGCAGTGCTTGAAGGCAAGGCCCTGACCTGGCCCGTTAGGTTCTGACCTAGCACTGAGGAGCTCCTCCTCTATACCCGTCTCACCTAGCACTCTCTCTCAATAGAAGCCTGCAAGCCTTCTTAACTGGTTTGCTGGATCCCAACTGGTCAGGGTCTCCTTAGGGCCCTTCTAGTCCTCTGGAGGGCTAAGTCTTATTGGTAGCCTGGCTTAAGTGGGTTTTCCTTGAGAAGAGAGGTGTCAGGGCACTGATGCCTCCAGCAGGGGCAGAGAAGGCCTGATAGATCCTGTCACACACCTTTTTCCACCTTCCAGGTGAAGTCAGGATTGATCCCTTGGTATTAAAAGCTTGTTTTTCTCTTTGTATGAATAATATTAGGATGACCATTTGAGATTGCTTATATGATAGAAACCAAAATATGATCACATGTATGTATGGGCATGCATGTGTGTATAATATATAATAAATAATATAATAATATCAAGTTATATCCTTTTAATAAAAAATGCAAGAACATCAAAAGGACATTATGAAAATGAAGTGCCATCTGGCTGGGAATATCAAAAGTGAAATAAGCACCTATTGGTGAAAATGTAGAAGGGCAAATAATTCTAATCAGTTTAATCCAAAATAAAGATGCCATGGACGTTATTAACAAACTGTTAGTATTCTGCTGCTGGAATTAGCTGTTGATCCTTCTAATGTGTATGGCATGTGCTAGAGATAGTGGAGATGAAAGATGATGTTTCTGATAACTCTGTACTGTGTAAATTCTTGTATAGGTTGACATAGTTAATAACATCTTCATCCAAAACCTCAGTAATCCACCTCTGTACAAGAATCATCCTCCAATGGCTGGGGCAATATATTGGTCACGATCCCTTTTCCATCGTATCAAACACACTATTATTCGGTTTCAAGAAGTAGAGGAGTTGCTGGCTAGTGAGCGTGGGAAGGAGGTATGTTGGTTTCATTGGTATTTAATAAAGAAAGTAGTACTTTGCACTTCAGTAGCACTGTTCATCCAAATATATACAAGTGCTTTACACACATTAATTAAAATTCATGGCATGTTTGTGTACATAGGTATTGTGATACAAAACATATTACAAATGGGGAAACTGAGGCACACATTGATTGTGACATCTCTGAGTGTGTCTCAAAGAGGCAGTAGCAGAGTTGGCAATGGAACTTAGGAGTCTACAGTCTCAGCCCCCTGCACTAACCACTAGACTATTCTCGCTCCCTTATTTAATAAAAACAAATATTAAAAACTATTTTAAGTAGCCCTGTTCAGACAAGAAAATGTCGTCTCTGTTTATATTATAGAGTAAGATGAACAGAGCTGAATTCTTTCTTACAGGTAAAACATAAGTATCTGGAAGTGGCTAGGAGAATGAAGGAATATGAAGATCTGAAATATGATCATTGGAGGGACTGGACTGAACAGATGCTCCCAGTACTACTGAAAAAAACCCTGCTTGCTAAAGTCCATCCTTCTGGGACCATAGTCCAAGCTAATTCGGAGCCCTCCGATCAGGTGAGGGGAGGAAGGGTCAGGTGTCAATCTTCTGCTAATTCATTGATTTGTAGCCAAGTTACTGATCGGGTGAGATTTTCTCAGAGTGGTTTCTTAAAGAGAAGAATTGAGTTGTTTGGGGAAATGTCGATACTTCTGAACTCAGAATTATTTGGGGATCCGAAATGGGCTGTCATATTTGTCACAATTGTTGAATGACCTGGCAGAAGCATAAATGATAATGTGTGTTGTGCCATCATTCCTGGCAATTCCAGGTAGGACATGCCAGTGCTTTGTCTTAATATTTCTATTTTGCTCAGGTGCTGTAAAAAATAGTAAGTATTTTCCAACAGCTTCATCTTTACTATATAGAGATTTGTTACTATACTATACAGCTCCAGTGTGATGTGCTCACTGCAGGATACTCCACTTAAAAGGACAACTTGATTCCCAGGTACTTCTGGGTGCAATCCAAAAAAATCATGGAATTAACATGAGTTTGCAGCCATCACATTGTTCACTCTGCTTGTGTGTTATATGTCTTCCCCTACCCCCGTGTCTGCCTTGTCTATTTAGATTGTAAACTTCTTGGGACTAATACACTGGGTTTTCCATTATGGATTGTTGGCACAGCATATGGAGGGGGAGTATTTGTTCTATCTCTTATGGTCAATTTTAAATGAAGAGACAGTTGCGTTTAATTCATTAAAAGAAAGTGCTGAATGTGGCAGCCAGTCTGAAATGCATTTCCATAGCTAGCCCTGAATGTCAAGCCTGCTATATGACACAAGTGAATCAGTCTGTTTGCCTTGAAAATGCCCCTTGAAGATAATTGTTTCTTTGATTTTTAACTGACCTCTCCCTCCTTCTTGCTGCTGTTTCTCTTCTGTGCTGTAGAGCCCGCATTCTGAAGAGGTTGACACCGGGGAGAAGTGGAGTCGTTTCATAGTCAATTTTTCTCCCAAACTCCAAGAGGTTATCAATGAAACAAAGTACATGGAGCAGCTGGGGTTTCCAGTACCTGAAATAGCAAGGAACGTGGCACTACAGGAGGACAAATTTCTTAGGTAAGGATATAAAATTTGAACATGCTCTATGTTCTGACTGTACTTAATGGCAATACTACTATTGACTTCACCCAGAACAGAAATGGACCCTTTGTCATCACATTTTAAAAACATGAGACCCCGTGGTCATTGTTATGTTTTCTTGGAAGTTTGCACAAATAATCTTTCCTTTGGTGCTGTCTGCTTTCTGAATTATGTATGATGAAATCAAGCAAACAAAACACATGGTAACCCCCCAAGAAAAACATGAAGTAAAGCAAATCATATACTATACTGCTATGCATTGTAACATTCCTCAGTCACTAGGAGACCTCAATTTAATGCCTGACTCTGCCATCGACTTCCTGTGTGACCTTGGGCAAGTCACCTAGGGCAGATTTTCAAAGGTATTAAGGCACTAATGATGCAGATAGGTGCCTAATGGGATTCTCAAAAGCCCCTGACACCCATTGATTTCACTCATGTGCTTAAAGTTGAGCATGTTTTAAATGCTTTTTCTGGATTGGCACTATAGGGGCCAAGCCAACACCTGTTGAAATCAGTGGAGTCTTTCCATTGACTTCATAGAATCACAGAACTGGAAGGGACCTCGAGAGGTCATCTAGTCCAGTCCCCTGCACTCAAGGCAGGACTAAGTATTATCTAGACCATCCCTGACAGATGTTTGTCCAACCTGCTCTTAAAAATCCCCAATGATGGCGATTCCACAACCTCCTTAGGCAATTTATTCCAGTGCTTAACTACTCTGACAGGAAGTTTTTCCTAATGTCCAACCTAAACCGCCCTTTCTGCAATTTAAGCCTATTGCTTCTTGTCCTATCCTCAGAGGTTAAGAAGAACAATTTTTCTCCCTCCTCCTTGTAACAACCTTTTATGTACTTGAAAACTGTTATGTCCCCTCTCAGTCTTCTCTTCTCCAGACTAAACAAACCCAGTTTTTTCAGTCTTCCTTCATAGGTCCTGTTTTCTAGACCTTTAATAATTTTTGTTCTTCTTCTCTGGACTTTCTCCAATTTGTCCACATCTTTCCTGAAATGTGGCGCCCAGAACTGGACACAATACTCCAGTTGAGGCCCAATCAGCGTCGAGTAGAGCGGAAGAATTACTTCTCATGTCTTGCTTACAATACTCCTGCTAATACATCCCAGAATGATATTTGCTTTTTTTGCAACAGCGTTACACTGTTGACTGATATTTAGCTTGTGATCCACTATGACCCCCAGATCCCTTTCCGCAGTACTGCTTCCTAGGCAGTCATTTCCTATTTTGTATGTGTGCAACTGATTATTCCTTCCTAAATGGAGTACTTCGCATTTGTACTCAGTGAATTTCATCCTATTTACTTCAGACCATTTCTCCAGTTTGTCCAGATCATTTTGAATTTTAATCCTGTCCTCCAAAGCACTTGCAACCCCTCCCAGCTTGGTATCATCCGCAAACTTTGTAAGTGTATTCTCTATGCCAGTGGTTCCCAAACTGGGGTTTGTGAACCCCTGGGGGTTCGCGAAATGTTACAGGGGGGTTTCGGGAAAAAATTCCCTAATGGCGGACAGAGCTGACCTTAGGGACCCCAGGCAGCACTGGGCCAGCAGACCGGAGCCCCTGGACTTCCAAGAGCTAACCAGATCAAAGCAAGCATATCTATCACACTGAGGAGATTTAAACTTCAAGACTCCTTATAAGAAATGGAAAGGGAGGTGGATATTTTTTGCTGTTTTTAAAATTAAATAGGCAGCTAGTATTGTTTTTAAAATTATTATAACAAGCAAGGGGGGGAAAGACAGCTCAGTGGTTTGAGCATTGGCCTGCTAAACCCAGGGTTGTAAGCTCAGTCCTTGAGGGGGCCACTTACGGATCTGGGGCAAAATCAGTACTTGGTCCTCCTAGTGAAGGCAGGGGGCTGGACTTGATTGGGAGGAGAGGGATAGCTCAGTGGTTTGAGCATTAGCCTGCTAAATCTGGGGTTGTGAGTTCAATCCTTGAGGGGGCCATTTAGGGATCAGGGTGGAAAAAAACTGTCAGGGACAGTACTTGGTCCTGCTAATGAAGGCAGGGGACTCAAGGTCCCTTCCAGCTCTATGAGATAGGTATATCTCCATATATTATAAGTTTAAGCTTTGTTGTAATATGAAGTGTTTGCCTGGACTGCTCAAGACCTGAATGCTTGTGTAGGAGGAACTCTGAGTTGGCTTCTTAAATACCTTCATGCTGTTTCACATCTGATACTCCTTGATGAAACATAGGAGCCTTGTCTTATAACAGGCTTATTCAAAGTGATACAAGCTACAAAAGTGAGATCTTGGAAAAGTGTTGCCATTTTCATAATGTAATACAAATACTGTAATGATAAATAATAATAATAATAAATAGTGTGTAATAAGCATGTCATTAAAAACAAATTATATTTCCAAGATCACTGCTTTTATTATTTATACTCAGGTGAAGGAGAAAATCCCTGGAAATATTCATTTTTAGGAGGGGGTTCACGAGACTTGACATTCTAGTGAAAGGGGTTCCCAGGTTGTTAAAGTTTGGGAACCACTGCTCTATGCCATTATCTAAATAGTTGAAGATATTGAACAGAACCGGACCCAGAACTGATCCCTGTAGGACCCCACTTGTTATGCCCTTCCGGCATGACTGTGAACCACTGATAACTACTCTCTGGGGAGGATTTTCCAACCAGTTATGCACCCACCTTATAGTAGCTCCATCTAGGTTGTATTTCCCTAGTTTGTTTATGAGAAGGTCATGCAAGACAGTATCAAAAGCCTTACTAAAGTCAAGATATACCATATCTACCGCTTCCCCCATCCACAAGGCTTCAATAGCATTGATGTGTAAGCAGGATGACAGAGAGGAGATGTGCCAGTAGTCTCTGGTTAGGTGACTAAATTGTTAATCTTGGGAAAACTACCAGTGTAGCACTCCATGTCTGGGTTCAAAATTAGGTTTTCAGATGTTCTAGGCAATACCCTTATTGTAATGTTTTGCATTATGCTTGTGACTCTCTTTAGATACACAGATGGAATGAAACAGATGTTGGATCACTATCACAAATTAATGGGAACACTAAATGAAGCAGAAATCCAGCTTCTTGATGATCACATTCAAGAGCTTTGGAAAGTATTTAGATCAGGGTACAAGAGACTCAACTGGAACTCCTTAGGTAATATATCAAGTATCAGAGGGGTAGCCGTGTTAGTCTGGATCTGTAAAACGCAACAGAGAGTCCTGTGGCACCTTTAAGACTAACAGAAAAGATAGTCTTTAAAGGTTAGTCTTAAAGGTGCCACAGGACTCTCTGTTGCTTTTTAGGTAATATAGATGATATTTTTAAAATGTCCTTTAGATATTAATTTTCAGTGAAACATCTCACAGGCTATACATTTTTCTTTCTCTTGTCAACTTATAGTAGTTTTTTATATCTAAAATGCTGAGCAGAAGTGACTACAGCTCAAGATCAAGGATATCATAAATTGAACTGTGGTAGCTTTGGTGCACAGTCCAGGTTTAGGAATACAGACTGTTACCCTGTGGAAAATATGGTGCAGTCCGTTGGCCTGACCCAGTGCCTGTTAAAGAAGTACATACTTAGTCTTCCCCAATGAATATGGAATTGCATCCCCTATACATGACATGCTAATACAGTGACCTTTTGGTCTTAGAAGGAATGGGCATTGCACTGGCTACATTGCTCTTTTAGAAGCTTAGATTGGCTAATTAATAAAATGAGGGTGTAAGATATGTTGAAGAAGGAGAATAAAATGGACATGTTATTTTCAAGGTATTGGTGACTATATTGTTCGGTGCACCCAAGCCATTGGGAAGTTTGAATCGCTTGTACATCAGATTCATAAGAATGCCGGAGATATAAACAACAAGCTTTTATTAATAGAGTCAACAAATCTATTTAAATCCCCACCTTTGAAAAATGAGGATGAACTTCCTGGTAGGTCTTATATTTTGTATGATCATTTCTCAGCTTTGTGAAGTGTCTTATTGAAGTGGTGTGCTTGCTACATCTCTTTTATTGTTGCCAAGAGAACACAATATTAAGTACTTCCCAAGGCTAATTACAGTACAGTGTCATAGTACAGTGAAGGGAGTACAAGCAAAGCTTCAATATCCCCGCTGGTGGTGGTGAGACATGAAGATCTACATAGCAGTGGATCTTTTAACGTGTATCTGCCTTTCTTCTGGTCATCCATGTCCTGGCCTTTCCCCTACCTCCACCATGTGCTGCTGTGTGGGGGCTTCCTTGGTGCTGCAGTCCCCTATATACAAGTATCAGGAGGTAGCCGTGTTAGTCTGTATACAGTGTCTCCTGCCCTCTTGTGCAGCTGTACTGCACAAGTGCTGTCAGGAAGACTGCAGTTATAGAGGATGGGGCTGGAGTCGCGTCTTACTCATTTGTGAAATTCAGTCATCACAGCAGGTCTTCCAGTCATTAGCATGCACTAGTGGAGTTTAGCTATTTCAGAATGTCTCTGATAATTAAAAATGTTATCGCCATATGTAAAAATCTCTGTCTTAGTCAAGTTTGGGATTCTTGAATCTGTACTCACCAAAAGGTCTGAGGTATTAATATAATAATGAAGATTAAATTCTAAATTAACTTGCAAGATGAATTTACCGTTCAAAGATAAATCCCAACTAATTATTTTGTTAATCTGCTGTTACTATTACAACTAAATAGTGATAAATAATAATTTTCTCTCATAAACTTTTACAGGAGTGAAGGAATTCTTTGAGTATATTAAGCGCGAAAGATCTAAAGACGTGGAACACATTGTTAGAAAGTATGTTGCCATTGGACCCTTGCTAACAAAAATGGAAGGGCTGGTTGCCAACACAAACACTGGCAAAGCTTCAAAACTAGCACCCTATTATGCATTTTGGGAAAATAAAATCTATCATACATTGACACAGTTAGTTCTGAAGTAAGTCTAATGGATTTACTGTCTTGCATCTGTTTAATAGATTTACTGTCTTGCATCTGTTTATTTTTTTCAAATCAGTTGTTTTTAAATTCATAGGTGCTAAAATTTAATCCAGCCCCCCTGTGACTAGGTGCTTGGATGGGCCACACCGAGGATGCTACAGTTAGGGGAGACTGCAAGAAATAGGGCAGACAATCCCCAAAGCTGGTGGTTTGTTCTAGAACTAGATTCACCAAGCCAGTAACAAAAGAGCTTCTGTAGCTGGTTAACAAGAAGCCAAACACACTCCCTTTTAGGCTTTCCAGCCCTTGGCTCCAATCTACACAACCAAGTCTAATATAGAGTGATGTTACTGAAAACCTGATTCACCATATGTGAGGTTCACCAATCCTGAAAGACCAGACACTTATCCCCAGGTCAATATTAATCTCAGATCTTACCAAAATATCATGCTGACAGACAATCCTTAATAACTAAATCAAAGATTTATTAATAAAAGGAAAAAGAAAGAAGAGCGTTATAATGGTTAAGAGAGCAATATACGTACAAATGTGTGTAAAGACTTTAGGTCAGTTTCAAAGCAGAGATGGTGAAGTTGCTGATTTGTCAAAGTCTCTCTGGAGTTATCCCAACAGGTCAGAATCCAAAGGCACTTTAGATGTAAAGTCTCTTAGTCTTTCCATGCGTTTTCCAGGGTATTCCAAATAATTCTTTGGAAGAACTCCATCCTACACTTTACACTTTCCCTGTTCAAAATTTAAGCAGATTAGAGATGAAAGAGATCAGGCTGGGAGGCTTCCTTTATAGTTGAAGCAGGTTGGGTGCTGACAGGCAACTCCACCATGTAGGCTTTGATGAAAGCGAGCTGATAGTCTGTGATCTCTATTCAGTGGGTCCTTTCTCAGACAATACTTTTAGCAATAGCCATTCAAACTATCAAGAAGAACAGGAGTACTTGTGGCACCTTAGAGACTAACAAATTTATTAGATTTCAGAGTAGCAGCCGTGTTAGTCTGTATCCGCAAAAAGAACAGGAGTACTTGTGGCACCTTAGAGACTAACAAATTTATTAGCGCATAAGCTTTCGTGGGCTACAACCCACTTCTTCGGATGCATATAGAGTGAAACATATATTGAGGAGATATATATACACACACATACAGAGAGCATGAACAGGTGGGAGTTGTCTTACCAACTCTGAGAGGCCAATTAAGTAAGAGAAAAAAAACTTTTGAAGTGATAATCAAGATGGCTCAGTACAGACAACCTGTCAAACTATCAAGATATTTCACAGGTAGTTTACTATGTGGAATTACAAGTTTCCAGGAGGATGAGGACAATAATATTACACCACAAGTCCCATCTAAATGATAATATCCCCCTTTGATCTCTGTGTCAATAGAATACAGTAATGAAGCATTATAAGACAGGAACAGGATTTAGCATCTACAAGCTAATTAGGTCGCATTGTTAGATTTCTAATAGGATGCATGTAAATAGAGACCTATTTAGCACTTACTCTTTGCTTCTCTAACAATACAGGCAAACAACTTGAATGCCTTTTACAGTTGCCCCTTGGGCCATTTTAGGGGTTCAGAATCACTGGGTGTAAAAGCATGCTGGCTATACCTCCTCCAATCCTTGATCCACCCTATTCCTCTTATTCCACACGCTCAGCCTGCTCCAGAGTGTGCCCCCTGTGGTGGAGAGCAGCTGTGGAGCTGACTTTTAGAGGCACACTGCACCGGGGTGCTCCGAGAGTGGATTATGCTTTTTGCTACAGCCCCATTGTGCCAGTTAGGCTGCGCCAAAGGGCAGTTCCCCTGCTGTATTCTGGGAATGTTTGTGAAATCAGTTTACCAGAGTTCAATTTCTTGCCTGTTTTCTTGCAGCCCCGTAAGAGTTTACCAATCAAACCAGTCTCTACATGGCACATGAGATAAGTTCTGTCCTCAGATGCACATGTGGGCCTCCTGTTGAAGTCAGTGTTGAATGGCTTAATTGGGAGCGACTTGCACATCTGAGGGGAGAGTTTGACCTCATGCCTGCAATTCCTGCTATTTATTGTCACATATCTGTGCCTATCTATGATGCTATAAAATGCAGATTAAGATTGTCTGACTTTTTTTTTTTTTTTTGCAGGAATTTGCAGGCTTTTAATGCAGCCGTTCTTCGGGATGTCCCACTGTTCCAAACAGAAACTATTTTATCTGCTCCTGAGATAATCCTGCATCCTAATGCCAGTGAAATTGACAAAATGAGTGTTCATTGTATCAGAGACTGTGTTGAAGTCACTAAGGTGATTATTGATAAAGATTATTCAGGGCTTGCTTGTTGACACAATGAGTTATTCTTGCTTTATGTTTGTATTGGAACATATGTCAAGGGGAAGATTTTGATTATATTGGTTGGAATAAAAATATTCAGTATATTGTTTTATTTTACAAACTGTGCTAATGACAAAGGACCAAACTCAGATCTTCATACAGTTTTTATTCAGGCAAAATTCCCATTGACTTCATCAGGAGTTTTGCTTGGGTAAGAACTTTAGGATTTGGTCCTATACATATATAAACACCAGCAGGGAAATAGCATCCAAATACAATTAAGACTGGACCCTATGCATATGTGTGCTAAGAAGAAAAGAGGTGTAGGTAACCTTTCCTATAACCACCAACCTCCTCACAAGCAGAAGGGCAGGCTATTTACCTAGCACTCAGGAAGGTGCATAACTCCTATGCTAGCTCAGTGGGATATGGTATCTGGCCAGGGGTCTGTTCACAATCGTAGGATGCTCACTGCTTCTTTTCAGAAAAGAAACAATGTTCTAGGAGCAATCCTACCCTGCACTGATGAACAGACAACACACCCCCTAAAAATATAAATACAGGTCAGTCCTGCCTTCCACCTTCCCACTCCAAAACTCACAGCTCATGCTCTACTTTCTTGCTGAGCCTGACTGACCTGTACCTGCCCCTCTGGCCTAGCTTATGACATCCTCAGGAGACAGACTTGAAAAACAGACCAAATAACAATGCCTGGAAGAATGCATTTGGCACTACAGGGTACTCTGAGCTCAGTTCTGATCTCAGATAGATAGGTGTCCTCTTTTGTCAAATGCCCAACAGCTAACTTTAAAAGTCCAACATGCCTGAATACTTCAGATCAGAATTAAGCCTTGAGTATTTTAGTAGAGCAATCTCCTACTTAAGGGCTAACAACTATCACTAATTTCACCCACCCCCATTAATACACTATTATTTTAATACTAAAACTCTAGCATTTTGTACGGTGGATGCACGGCACCTGTATCGACTGCCCCCCTCAGCATGCTGAAGAAGACGAACTCATCACCTTAAGTTTTTTTAATGACATCTCTCAGAACCCACTAATAATCGAACAGGCTGTTCTCATCACTCAAAACATACACAAGCTCCTGAATTCTCTCACCAAGTACTTGAATCGATGGCAGAGATATCGCCCTCTGTGGAAATTGGATAAAGCCATTGTTATGGAGAAGTTTGCTGCAAAGAAACCAGCTTGTGTCACCTTTGATGAAAAGTTGCAGTTCTATATTAAGATCGCTCAAGAAGTGACTCAACAGCCCTTGGTTAAAGATGAACAGTGCATTAGGCTTACCCTGGGCCCTTTAGCCTACACAGTACAGGAAAATGCAAAAGGTTGGGTGACTTCTCTTGGAAAACTTCTCAATGAATCTGCAAAAGAGGAACTCTTCAGTCTTCAGGAAGAAATTGAGGTAGATATTTTCTCTGCTCAGTGTTGATCAGTCTTTCTAACCAGCTCTGAGTGGTGCTGCACAGTTGCATGACCTAAGCCTCCTATTTTATGAGGGGAAAAGAAATCTCAATCAGACATTGTTGGGTTCATCTTTATCATCAATTAACTAACTGCTAACTAAAAAAATACATACAGATTATTTAATTGTTTTACACGAGTTGACTTAATATAATTGTACTTAATTGTCTATGTTTTTGCCTAATTATTCTCTTAATGCTGTTTTTGAAAAGTAATTTTCTTTTATAGAGATTATCACAAAACCTTAGGAAAACTCCTGATTCTTTGGAAGATCTCAAATTTGTTCTTGGCACAATTGCAGAGATCAAAGATATGACTCTACAAGTGGAATTGAAATATTTAGACATTCAGGAGAGATACCGGACCCTTGCAGTATATAACATTCCTGTAAGTGAATTTATGTCTAATCCCATATATATTTTATACTTGTGCTTCAGATACAAACACCTTTTGTGTAAACAAATGAAGTTTAATTAAACTATTTTGAATTAACAGAATCAAAAAGTAATATTTTCACATTGTTACTCCCAGATTGAAATTTACTAGATTGTTATTCATTTGTTTAGCTCAGTTTCAGGTTATTTAAATAATGTTTTTGTATATTTCATAACTGAAGGCCTGATCATGTAACCCGTACTTTCCTGTGAGTAATTCCTACTTGTGAGGGTATTCCCACAGAAGTCAGTGGTACCATTCACTGGGGAAATCCACCCCACTCACATAGAGTCCAGTGACTGGGCTTTATGCAGAATGGAGGCCTGATTCAGAGCTCATTGAAATCAATGGAATTTGTGTAGATGTATACATACATGGTGCATAATTTATCCATCATAATCCATGAAAAGTGTTTGTCTAGAAGACTTTCCTTCTCTTTACAGGATTGAAGCTCTTAGATATTTTTGATAAAGAGTTGGAAAAACATGACTTCAATAGGCTTTGGATCAATAAGCACTGAGTGCAGTGCGGTTTGGGAGGTGAAATCAACCACTCTAACTCAGGGTCAGTGAGCAGGGCTGCTGTGCACTTCTCCCCCATATCTGCTTTTCCTGCCCAGTGAGATGGAATAGGAGCTGCAGCTCTCTGTGCTAGTTGTGTGGGTGTTGAAACAAGATCTGCAAAAATGTCCATCTCATGACCCCTGTCCTGGCGTACTCACCCCATGGCCATCTACCCTAACCTGTGTCGTTTTGGTGAGAAGAAACTTTCCTTGGTGTGCATGTACTGCCTTATTCAAGGGTACTCACTGTACTGATGGAAGGCTTTCATGATGTGGAAGGTCTTGTGCTGCCTTTGCACCATGGGTCAATTTCATCCTCTGTCAGGATTCTTCATGTGAGTATGAGTTTCAGGATTTGGCTCACATACTTTGTATTCATATGTGTGTTCTCTTTAGACAACTGAAGAAGAGAGAGAGTTGGTCGACAAGATTAAGCAAATGTGGGAGACCCTCTTATTTGATGCATCGGAAGTTGATCACAGCCTTGGAAGCATCAAAAAGACATTCACGGAGGTAATATTTTTACCTTATATGTTTAAAATGCATTTAGAAAAGGAAGGAAAAAACCCTAATTCAAACAATATTCCCTTTAGATTACAAGGGAGCAGATTGGAGACTACAGTAGCCAGATAGCAGATTTTTTCCACAGATTTACTACTGAGGGGCCTGGTGCTGTTGGGGAGAATCTTGACAAAGGTAAGAAGACTTATGTCTCTGTAGTTACATTCTAAAGTAGTGTGAAGCCTGATACACTTGAAAACAGAAACCTATGTACTTTCAAAATGTTTTCCCCTCTTAAAATACAAGCTGAACAATTAGTATGACATTTGAAGAAATATAATTTGTGTATATGTATACAAAAGTGGTGCATTATTTATCCATCATAACCCATGAAAAATATTTGTCTAGCAGACTTTCCTTCTCTTTACAGGATTGGAGCTCTTAGATATTTTTGATAAGGAATTGGAAAAACATGAGAAAAATCGTCAGGAGTTGGCTAATGCTGAGAAACTTTTTGACCTTCCAATCACAATGTACCCTGACTTATTAAAAGTGCAGAAGGATATGAAGGGTCTAAAGCAGATCTATGAAATTTATAAGTTGCAAAGAGTAAGTGTTCTATAAAAATATGTATAATATAGAACTTCCCTTTTATTGCAGTCAAGTCTGTTCCTATCCATTTGACTGAAATAAGTTGTGATTGTTTTATCCTTCTGACTACCAGAATGTAGATTATCTGAATAGTGCTTTAGTTATACACACTGGTCCAGGAAGTGTAATGTTGTAGTTAGGTCCAGATTTTGATACTCTTATTCATGCTGGTTAGCATCTTACCCCCAAGTAGTCTCATTGACTTCAGTAGGATTGCTCCTGTGGTTAGGTGCAGTGCTCATTGTGAGTAGACGGATTTCAGGCTGGCCCTAAGTGACCTTAGTTGGTCTTTGAACGAGTTTTTTTTTTAAATGGATTTTGGAATAATTAAAATGTGGTAACATTAAAAGCCAGACTGTGACTCTGTAAAGCAGGTTCTTATTACTGCTTCCCCTGTTGTGTCTTATCTTAAATCAGACTATAAGCTCGTTGAGGCAGGGGACTGCCTTTTATGTTGTTTGTACAGCGTCTTTCACATTTGGGCCCTGATGCTGACTGGGCCTCTGAATGCTATTGCAGTAGAAATAATAAATATGTTGTCACATTCCTTTCATAGTAACTTAAAAGGAAATGTTATGAATGTTTGCATCTACCTTGTTTCCAGGCTGCTAAAGAGGAATGGTCGCAGACCCTTTGGGTAAATCTCAATGTGCAGTTTCTCCAAGAAGGAATTGAAGGATTTCTTAAAAGCCTCCGAAAGCTGCCCAAGCAAGTGCGCAGCGTGCCGGTGGCTTATCACCTGGAAGCAAAGATGAAGGCATTCAAGGACTCCATTCCTTTGCTGCTTGATTTGAAAAATGAAGCATTGAGAGACAGGTTTGATCCTGTTTGTTTAAGGAATTTTCTATATGTGAAAGGACATTTATTTTTGTTTGTTATAACTGTTAATTTCAGATGTTGAAATCATGCAAACATTTTGCATATTATGGACCATAATAGTTGATATCCAATTACTAAGATCGCACAAGATGATGCAGTATGTGTAAATATTGTGTGTATTTTATGTAAAATATGAAGTCTCATTCTAAACATGAAATATAATTCTAAATATAATTCTAGACTGTATCGAGCACAGGACCATTATTATACATTTGTTGACAGTAATTTTCACATTTACTGTGTCATAGTGCTTGACAAAATGAACAAAACCAAAATCTTAGACACATAGGCTCAGTATCTCAGACCAGCCACTAAATTCATGCATGCAAAATGTGGCCATGTGGTTATATCTCACTTGCACTGGCAGCTAGGCACTTGATCATACAAATGTGATAGTTCCACATAATTACCTATTCTGTGCAATCAAATGAACATGTAAATATTATAGCTACTGATCTAGCGTCTAATGCTAGTAGTTCTAGTCTGGAATGGTAGAAACACTGCTGGAATCTGATAACCACTGGTTGTGCTTAGTTCAAAGCTGGCTGCTGACTGATGTTTTGCTCCTTACATTTGATCTCAAGCAGAAGTAGCTGAGACCTGATCAAATCAATGCTCCTCCTTCCTATCACCAGCTCCCCTGACATTCAAACCACCCTTTCTCTGCTAGAACAGCTTGACAGCTCAAAGCTACCAGTTCATCTCTCTTATCTGCATCACATGGAACTGCCAAAACCATACCCCCACCGAGTTGTGGGAAGTAAAGAATGAGCTGCTGAGCCAACCCCCAACCTGGTGTTTGGCTGGGATGGGAAGATGGAGTGTCTAGGAAATGAATGTTCCCTCCAATTTGTCTTCATTTGATAGCATTATTCCCTGCATTTTAAGTTGATCCCTATTGATAATACCTGGTCTTGTTTATAACATGTTGATTTACTGAAACTTTTCCAGGCATTGGAAAGATCTTATGGAGAGAACTGGCACTAGTTTTGAAATGACAACAGCAACTTTCACCTTGGAGAATATGTTTGCTATGGAGCTGCACAAATACTCAGATGTTATCAATGAGATAGTGGGATCTGCTGTTAAAGAGCTTAGCATTGAGAAGGTAAAGTTTTTAAATAATATCTAGCTTGTTTTGAAGACACTTAATGACAACAGAGGTTTTTATTTTCTTCATTGTTTTTGATCTTTCAGTTTTAGTTATCAAATGGTATTTAGAATAGCAGTAAATAGTTTAACCTTTAGTTGCCAAAAAAGGTTATGTTAGCCATTTGTGTGATCCTTGTTTGGATTAGATGGGTTTTAAAGTGTGAGTCTACTTTGAAAAGTGATTGTAAAAGTGTCAAGGTAGTTTTCCACGTTTATTGTCTACCAGAAAGCTTACTTGACACAAAAATCAGTTTACAATTAAAAATATTTTCGTTCCTAACCGCCAGCCCTGCACATTTGACCTGGGATCTGATAGTCAAGCAGGATGCTTTCCGTTTTCTGCATCATTGCCAGTAATAAAGGTTCTGCAGTTCAGATAAGTCCTTCAGTGATACTAGTATAACTGAATTATTTTCACTGGAGCTGCACTGGAGGTAACAGAGAAGATAGCTCTGTTAATGATGCACTAGATGGAGCCAAATCCATCTCTCTCTGAGCTGTGTTGGCTCTGTAGTGATAAAAAGCAGAAAGAACTTATTTCTCGCATTGAGATTAGCAGATAAAACTCATAATGCACACTAAGAATAGATCTGATGGATACATTGTCCCTGTTCAGAGTAGACCTGCCCTTTAGAGCTAGAAAAATCTGTGTAAAAGACTTCCTAAATGAGCGATTTTCATTTTGATGTTAGAATGACTGTCCTCTAGTTTTACAGGACTGAAACAGCCTTCTTTTTATGTTCACGTCCAGGGTGTTAAGGAGATAGTGGAAACCTGGGAGAACATGAAGTTCACTGTACAAAGGTATTTCAAAGGCACTCAAGAGCGAGGCTTTATTTTGGGACCGGTCGATGAAATTACTCAGATTCTTGATGACAATGCCGTCAATCTTCAGAGTATCTCAGGCAGTCGATTTGTAGGTCCTTTTCTATCAACAGTTCACCACTGGGAAAAAACTCTGTCCTTGATTGGTGAAGTTATTGAGGTAGGGAAGAAACTGAACGATTAATTTGTCTCTAGCTTTTGTTGTTCATGATCAAGATTTTCCATAGAACTTGTTTCTTTGATTGTAACACTTGACTCTTCTTCTAGGTCTGGATGGTGGTTCAGAGGAAATGGATGTACCTGGAGAGCATCTTTATTGGTGGGGATATAAGATCACAGCTTCCAGAGGAAGCAAAAAAATTTGACAACATAGACAGGATATTTAAAAGGGCAAGTAACTGACCTGTTTTGTAATGGCTTGTGATTGAGAGAATTACGTGATATGTTTTGCTTTTAGGTCCATATTTAACTGCAGTCCTCCATTTATAGATGTCAGTGCCCTAACATTTTTGACTAAGCAAGTACTTCTCTCTAGCGATACTCCCAGCTATTCAAACTGATTGTAAAAATGTCGATGTGACAGTGAGCTTACTTGGCACAGAAATCAGTTTACAAGTAAAAATATTTTCTTTCCTAATTGCCAGTCCTACGCATTTAAGCTGTGATCTGATAGTCAAGCTGGATCCTTTCCATTTCTTGCATCATTGTCAGTAATAAAGGTTCTGCAGCTGCAAGTGCTTCACAACTTATCTGTCTAAGGCATCATGCATACCTTAGTACTGTAGAAATAGTAAATAATAATAAAAAGTATGACTATATATAATGATAATATCCTATATTGTTTCAGTATTGCCATAAGAGAAATCTAACTCAATTTGCTCCTCGATGTTACTTCTTAGTAGTTTCTAAACGTTCTTTTCTATGTCCGTAGATAATGGGTGACACTGTAAAAGACCCAGTGATAAAAAAATGCTGTGAAGCCCCAAATCGACTCACAGACCTCCAGCAGATAAGTGATGGTCTAGAGAAATGTCAGAAAAGCTTGAACGATTATCTGGATTCAAAGCGGAATGCTTTCCCCCGATTTTTCTTTATATCTGATGATGAGTTGCTCAGCATCCTTGGTAGTAGTGACCCGCTCTGCGTTCAGGAACACATGATAAAGGTACAGCATCCTGCTTATGAGAATGCTCCATGCGCACTATGATTTTTAGGTGGAAGATTCTATACTATACATATTATTAAGAGCCTGCTAGTGTTTCTTTCAAACTAAACGTGCTGTAATAGCAACATAGGAAACACAAGAATTGCCAGACTGGACCAGACTAGTGATCCATGCAGTACAGTATCCTGTCAGTGCCAATGGCTGGTACCAGTGGCTTCAGAGGAAGATTCAGGATACCCCATAGTGAACTACTGTGGAATAACCATCTCTATAACTCTTGGGAAATTTGTATTTTCTGTAAAAATCTTAATTGGGCCAAATTCTATGCTCATTTACACTCTGCAGTTGGGTTCATGGGATATAAGTCTGTGCAAAATCTGGCTGTCAGTCTTTAAAAATAATTTGTCTGCTATATATGATTGCTCAGAGCCTGATCCTGCACTCTAATGGGTGTTAAGTGAGGTCCCTAGATCTTAGGAACCTCTCGTACAAATCGTACAAAGTGTTCCTCTGCTGGCATGTTTCAGATGTATGATAACATAGCATCCCTGAGATTTCAGGAGGGTGATAGTGGTGAAAAAATTGCAACAGCCATGATTTCCGCCGAAGGAGAAGTGATGGAGTTCCGGCGGGCCATTGCAGCAGAAGGCCGAGTCGAGAACTGGATGACAGCTGTTCTGGTTGAAATGAGAAGAACAAACAGACTCATTACTAAAGAGGCCATTTTTCGATACTGTGAAGATAGAAGCAGGTGAAGTAATCAAAGTGATAAGGATAACAATTGAAGCATAATAAACCATTAATAGTTTGAAGTCTATATAAACCATAGAGAAAGTGTTGTAGAAACTTGCTTTTTTATTTAAATATAGTTCCCTTCTCTTACTCTGTATGTTAAGGGTCCATTAAAAATTGATTGCCACCCAGTTCACATGCACAGACAGTTAAACAGAAAAAAATCTCAATCCCCAGCATCTAAACAACTTTAACTCTGCCCATGTAGTTCTGTTTATCTTTAAAAAAAATATCTTTAAAAAATGTTATCTTTAAAAATGCGTTTAAAGTGTTCCATTTGAAGAACAAAATCTAATTCTATAAATTCCAAATGAATAACTGGAAATGTAATTTACAGCCTTGATTATGTATTGGGGGTTATTCTGTAGGCCAAGTGTTCTGACACTCACAGTTGCTTTTCAGTATAAAGAATAATTTTATGAACTTGCTTAGGAATTAGGATCTGTTCACCCACTAGCTTTGTGTCCTTTGACATTGTCCACTTTTAAGTGGAATTATTTTACTCAGGAGAAAAAGACTGGATGAGTATTTGTATGTGCTTATGCACTTCAGTGATAGGCACTATGATATACATAGATCAATACATTCTTCAATAACATAGACAGATAAATCAATAGATAAGATGGATTATGTTAATGTACTATTGAATTTTTAAAGTATTTCTGATATGATGCTTGTCTGAGGCTGCATGTCATACAACCTTTGACAGATAAGAATGCAGTGTTAAATTGTTATGGACAGTTCAGAGGGAAGCTGTGTGCTGAATGGATAAGGTTCATTTAGACTCACTGTAAGGAGAGAGCTAAGGTTGCTTGGGTGCTGGGCCATGAAAATTTTTCTGTTTAAACATCTGTGTGCACAACTGGAAGTTAAGGTTGTTGTCAGCACTGTGTACATAACCAGAGCCTGTGATTTCCTTAGTTTTTAATGGTTTTTAATGGGACTGTCAAGCAATTAAAAAATTAATTGAGATTAACCGCACAATTAAAAAGATTAATCGCACTGTTAAACAATAAATACCATTTGTTTAAATATTTTTGGATGTTTTCTATGTTTTCAAATATTTTGATTTCAATTATAACACAGAATACAAAGTGTACAGTGCTCACTTAATATTTATTGTTGATAACAAATATGTGCACTGTAAAAAACAAAAGAAATAGTATTTTTCAGTTCACCTAAGATAAGTACTGTAGTGCAATCTCTTTACCATGAAAGCTTTATCCACTCAGTCCTATTGTTCAGCCAGTCGCTCAGACAAACAAGTTTGTTTACATTTGCAGGAGATAATGCTGTCCGCTTCTTGTTTACAATGTCACCTGAAAGTGAGAACAGGTGTTCTCATGGCACTGTTGTAGCCGATGTTGCAAGATATTTATATGCCAGATGCGCTAAAGATTCATATGTCCTTTCATGCTTCAACCACCATTCCAGAGGACCTGCGTCCATGCTGATGACGGGTTCTGCTTGATAACAATCCAAAGCAGTGCGGTCTCACGCATGTTCATTTTCATCATCTGAGTCAGATGCCACCAGCAGAAGGTTGATTTTCTCCTTTGGTGGTTTGGGTTCTGTAGTTTCTGCATCAGAGTGTTGCTCTTTTAAGACTTCTGAGAGCATGCTCCAGACCTCGTCCCTCTCAGATTTTGGAAGGCACTTCAGATTCTTAAACCTTGGTTCGAGTGCTGTAGCTATCTTTAGAAATCTGACATTGATATCTTCTTTGCATTTTGTCAGATCTGCAGCGAAAGTGTTCTTAAAATGAACAACGTGCTGAGTCATCATCCAAGACTGCTATAACATGAAATATATGGCAGAATGCGGGTAAAATAGAGCCGGAGACATACAATTATCCCCCAAGAAGTTCAGTCACAAATTTAATTAATGCATTATTTTTTTAACAATCATCATCAGCATGGAAGCATGTCTTCTGGAACGGTGGCCGAAGCGTGAAAGAGCATACGAATGTTTAGCATATCTGTCACATAAATATCTTGCAATGCTGGCTACAAAAGTCCCATGTGAATGCCTATTCTCACTTTCAGGTGACATTGTAAAGAAGAAGCTGGCAGCATTATCTCCTGTAAATGTAAACAAACTCGTTTGTCTTAGTGATTGGCTGAACGAGAAATAGGACTGAGTGGACTTGTAGACTCTATAAAGTTTTGCATTGTTTTGTTTTTGAGTGCAGTTATGTAACAAAAAAAAATCTACATTTGTAAGTTGCACTTTCACAATAAAGAGATTACACTACAGTACTTGTATGAGGTGAATTGAAAAATACTGTTTCTCTCATTTATCATTTTTACAGTGCAAATATTTGAAATAAAAAATAATAATATAAAGTGAGCAGCGTACACTTTTTATTCTGTGTTGTAATTGAAATCAATATATTTGAAAATGTAGAAAAACATCCAAAAATATTTAATAAATTTCAATTGGTATTTTATTGTTTAACAATACAATTAAAACAGCGATTAATCACGATTAATTTTATTGAGTTAATCACGTGAGTTAACTGTGATTAATTGACAGCCCTAGTTTTTAGTGTTGATGATGTGTGTAATGGTATTTCTTGTCTTTTTATGAATTGCACTTAGTAACCTTTAACTACAAGTTAGTTTTGTTGTGGGGGAATTTCCTAGTTTTTTTAAAATAGTATTTGACACCTTTACAGAGTGCTCTCTTGTCTCTAGAAAGACAGATTGATATCACAGTTGTTCCAAAAATTCAGGGTAGAACTGTTCTTTCAAATATATTATCCATATTTTCCATAGAGTTGACTGGATGTTGATGTATCAAGGCATGATGGTGCTGGCTGCTAATCAGGTCTGGTGGACCTGGGAGGTGGAAGACGTCTTTCACAAAGTGAAGAAAGGAGAAAAACAGGCAATGAAACTTTATGCCAAGAGAATGCACGAGCAGATTGATGCCCTGGTTACCCGAATCACAAAGCCATTAAATAGAAATGACAGAAAAAAATACAATACTGTTCTCATCATTGATGTCCATGCCAGAGATATTGTTGATTCGTTTGTAAGAGACAGGTAATCCACTGACCCGCTGAGATAATTCTAGAGAGATTGTATTCTGTACTCACAATCTTTTGCTTTCTCCTTTATAGCATCATGGAAGCTCGAGAGTTTGAATGGGAAAGCCAGCTGCGTTTTTACTGGGATCGAGAGCCTGATGACCTGAATGTGCGTCAATGCACTGGCACCTTTTCCTATGGTTATGAATATATGGGCTTGAATGGAAGACTAGTAATCACTCCCCTTACAGATCGTATCTATCTAACACTCACACAGGTATATATTAAAGGGCTTTTTTCATATAATATTCTGTTGAAATATATTTCTTGGGGTTCACAACATAATTATTTTATTGCCCCTTTCTATTTCCGCAAGTGATCACATTATATAATAGTATATTTAAACTCAGTTAAAATCCCATGTGATTTGAAATTTTTAAAGACTATGTAAAAGGCTAGATCAGCTTCAAGGCTGGTTGTTTTGTTAAAATCATGGCTGAAAGATGATCATTTTAAGGCATTATTACAGTGATGGTTGATCCATTTTGTGAGATCTCCAGTTCCTCTGCTGCTGGCTGCCAAAACTCCTACCTCAGCCAGTATTTTCAGTTCTAATTTCTGGTGCTCATCTTCGGTTCTGCCTAATCCTCTGCTGACTTTCCATTCTTACGTATCAGTCTTTGCTGGAGAGACTGTTGAGGTGCATGCAATGTAAAAGCTGACTGGCAGGGGCCAGAACTGGAAATGCGAGGAGAGAGGCACTCTGGCAGCTGTGGGAGGTGAAGGAAGAGCGCAAACAGGGATGAAGCAGAAATAAATCATAAAATTCATGAGTGCGATGCAATCTCTGACTGACTTGCTCCTCTAATTAGTATATTTGCTAAACAACCCAAACCCGGGCTGAGGTGTAACGGTTTATATGATATCCACATAGCTAAACTATATTGTACTGTGTGTGTGTGTATATATGTATACATACACACACACACATATATATATGCTACATTGTGGCATGTAAGGAACCTGCATAACTTTTTTATTGAGCAAACATGGTGACTTTCTTGACAATGTTTGTTGGAAGCCTTTGAGCTGAATTGCAGTGTGTTACCCTGCTCCATTCAGCCTTGCTTTTGTGGTTTGTTTCCAAAAGGCTCTATCCATGTTTTTGGGAGGAGCACCTGCAGGGCCAGCAGGTACAGGGAAAACGGAGACAACCAAGGATCTGGCCAAAGCCCTGGGCTTGCTGTGTGTTGTAACAAACTGCGGCGAAGGCATGGATTTCAAAGTAAGCGTTAGAAGGCTGCGTTCTCTGGTAACAGGATACTAGCACCATTATGCACAAAGACCAGGCTAAATGACTTGCCTTTAGCTTTCGAAGAAGACCTCTTCTAATTACAAATAAATCCCATGTAGTTGAAAATGAAATATAGTAAAAAAAATGTTTCTTGTTTAAGTTCCTGAGGTGGCTGGAGCTCAGGATTCTGGCTTTGCCTTGTAACAGTGAGAATCAGTGGCTAGATGATAAGATTCTAAGCTCATTGTGGGCCACCAGCATACAGTGACTAAGCCTAGCAATAGACCTTGGAGTGGGAAGGCAGACAAGTATCCATAAGCTTTGTTAAGTCCTTTACAGGTGTCCTATATGCCAAAATGTGCTAATCCTGAATGTTTTTTTATGCTGTTTTTGTTTTGTTTTCAGGCAGTTGGTAAAATTTTCTCCGGTCTTGCCCAGTGTGGGGCATGGGGATGCTTTGATGAATTTAATCGTATAGATGCTTCTGTGCTTTCAGTCATCTCTTCTCAGATCCAGACAATACGAAATGCTCTAATGAATCAGTTGAAAACATTTCAGGTAAACACACACACACACAAAACCTCTTGAGAAAGAAGGCTAGTCTTGTACTTAAGGCATGGGATTCGGGGAGGCTATCATAAGATTCAGTTTACTTGTGCCAACGTATTACACTTGAGTATTAAGAGTTAAGTACTTAAGTGCATATTTAAGCACTTAAATAATTGGCCTGATTTTCAGAGATAATGAGCACTTCCCTTTAAGTGCTCTGTGCCTCAGTTTCCCTATCTGTAACATGGGGATGATAACATCTACCTACCTACCTACCTGACGTGGGGGTTGTGAGGCTTAATTTATTATTTATTGTAAAGTTTTGAGATCCTCAGGTAAAAGGTATAGTAGAGAAGTGCAAAGCATTTTTTCCATTTTATCTTTTTAAGCCAGAGTCAGTATAGTCTGACATTTGTTTATGTTTTAGTTTGAAGGGCAGGAAATTTCCCTGGATGCACGAATGGGCATTTTTATAACCATGAATCCTGGGTATGCTGGCCGTACTGAGCTCCCTGAATCTGTAAAAGCTTTATTCAGGCCTGTGGTTGTGATTGTACCAGATCTCCAGCAAATCTGCGAAATCATGCTCTTTTCCGAAGGTTTTCTTTTGGCAAAGGTAGGGAAAGTTTACTCCAAAGTAAAGTAAAATAAAAACATGTACATGTGTGGTGTGTGGATTGGGACTTCTTTCTTATGATTCTCTGTCTTCACTCTCTAATAGGCCCTTGCCAAAAAGATGACAGTATTATACAAGTTAGCAAGAGAGCAACTTTCTAAACAGCATCATTATGATTTTGGACTGCGTGCTCTCAAGTCTGTACTTGTGATGGCTGGAGAACTGAAGAGAGGATCACCTGATCTTAATGAGGTAGACTTACTGTGTTCAGCTGAGGAACTGCCCCCCGTATGACTGGTGTAAATTCTCAAAGGTTTATTGAAATTACCACCTTCAGTGGATCTGTATGTAGCACCGTATGTAGCAGTTCATTGATAGTATCTTTGGTTGTATTGAGAATGCCGTTTGTACATCTGCTACACAAATAGGGATGCTTTCCTGTCTGTGGCATTTGTCTTCCCACTTAATGATTTACTTATTGAGCAACATCATTCTTTGCACAATGTTCAGGTACCACCTCTTTACATGCAGTGCTTACAGAAAGGGTGTGTCAATATGGGAAGACCACATTATCAGCAAAATGCAGATAAAAGGAAGAGTACGGCTGTTTTAACCCTTAGTTTGTATATACTTTGTACATACGTTTGAAGGTCTTGGGACAAGGTCCTTAAAGGTATTTAGGCATCTAACTGCCATTAGGCACTTGAGTATTTTGGAAGATCTGGGCCTTAATGTTTATATCTAGGATGCAAAGGCTAGATGAATATACAGAGTAAAAATTTCCAATGTAACACCTAAATTATGCTCACCAAAAATGCTTATATGCCAGTTGAATAATCAAAACCCATATTTGCACATGCAAAGCTGCTAATTGTACCATACCTTCCAGTACATTTGTATATCCAAATGTAGGTTTTGCAGAGTTTTCTAAAGCAAGTAAGTATGTTAACAGTGAGCCTTTGTGAATTAATTCAAGAAACAACCAGTAATTTGGGACATTCCAGCACCCATGTTTGGAAATTTGGTTCATATAATGAAAAAATGGAATTTAAAATACCAGTTGAAACTGATCAGCTTCATCCTTATTGAAATAACTTTTATTTCCAACAGTAATTCATGCCAAGATAATTATCTAAAGGTATCAGGAGCGCATATAGTAAAAATTGCCAACACTGTATTAAAATAATTGTATAACGGTATTATATAAATATTTTCTAGGCTATTTACACTTTTGAAAATTGGTTGAATATTTGGAGATTCTCTATTATTTTGTGTTTTGACTAGGATGTGGTATTGATGAGAGCTCTCCGAGATATGAATCTTCCTAAGTTTGTGTTTGAAGATGTACCTCTCTTCCTTGGCCTGATCTCTGACTTGTTTCCTGGCCTGGATTGTCCTCGAGTCCGCTATCCTAACTTTAACGATGCTGTAGAACAAGTGCTAGAAGAAGGTGGTTATGTCGTTTTACCAATCCAGGTAGAAGAAATGTTGAATTGTTTAACATTATTGTTGTAAACAGTGGGTAAGATCTTCATGTGGTGTATATCGGAGTGGCATCACTGTAGTCAGTGGAGCTATACTGATACACACCAACTGAAGATCTGGCCCATATGAGTTTTTTATACACAGTTATCTAAGTGTATAATGTGTATTTTTTCAGGTGGATAAAGTAGTTCAAATGTATGAGACAATGTTAACTCGTCATACTACTATGGTGGTTGGACCTACTGGAGGTGGCAAGTCTGTTGTCATTAATACTTTGTGCCAGGCCCAAACCAGGTGAGCACAGAAGTAGATGTAAGGGAATCAGAATTTGAAAGGGCATAGTCTATAGGACAAATGTACTGCAGCAGTCCTATGTGCTCATGCTGTGATCTTCCCTAAAACTTTATCCTACTGTAGTGTTTGCTTAGTGCGAAGTTTAACTTGGGTTGTGTTGTGTTTGGTAATATTGTTCATTCTGTTACCTCTCTGCTTAGGCTAGGATTAGTGACAAAGGTTTATATGCTGAACCCTAAAGCCATGAGTGTGATTGAGCTGTATGGTATTCTTGACCCTACCACGCGAGATTGGACAGATGGAGTTCTATCAAACATCTTCAGGGAAATCAACAAACCTACTGATAAGAAAGAGCGAAGGTAACCACCTAAGAATTAAAAATTATATTACTAACTTTTAGATATTCTGAATTTTACAAAGTCACTTTATTTTATGTTTAATACAAATTAGATTAACTGTCCTAAAGAAAAATGAAGGGAACATACCCAAAGGTTAGGAACCAAACAACGATATTGTCCTAAGAGTTTGGTGTCCCAATCTGATTCTGTAGGGACAATAGCTTCTGCTAAAAATGTGACCTGTATTTGACAGTTCTTCTTTGAGTCTTTGTCCGTGTGGATCCCAGTCTTGGCGCACATGTGCCTCATACATATGAGATCTTGCATGCATTAGATGCAGGTGCAATATGAGTGGATCCATGTGGACAAAACATCTTGAAGAACCACAGGTACTGATAGGTAAGGAATCATTCTCTTAAGTTT